GTCTTCGATGTGCAAACTAACCAGGTACGATGAAGCCATACCCCCTCCATCTGACCTGTTACACTCCAGGAAGCAATCATCCCAGGGCCAGGTACGAGGCAACCAGAGACTAGATTATAGCCCAAAGGCCCCAGAATTAGTTGAACTAGCCATTTCTAGACTGTTCACCCTGCCCTGCTTTGCCTTCTTAGAGGAAACCCCAATAAAGGCTCTGGCCTAAACTACTGCTTGCTTCAGTCTTCTGCCTCCTGACCCAAACCTGGTGCCATCCTGTGGTCCTGCATGGCAAGCCGTGCCTCATTTCCAGGGGAACTGTAACTACAAACTTTTCTTTCGGTGGCACAGACCTCTCCGTGCCCTCACTTAATCACCTTTATAAATCAAGTCCCGGGCACAAAACAAGATGAACACCTGAGAAATGATACCAGAGAACTCCTCTTTGGCCACACAAATTCCCAGAGAAAACTTGGGTTTGTGGGCTTAAGTCATAAATTAGAACCTAGCCCAATTCATACAAATAAAACCTAAAGAAAAAGTGGTTGTGATTTCATTTCAAAGCTTTTAGGATTAGAGTACCATATTCCGAAACACCGAATCCATGAGTCAGACAAAAAAAAACAGAACATGCTGTTGCTATTGGCCACCAAGCCCTGCAGAATCACTGAAATGTAAAACAAAGACAATAGGGTGTGATTAAGTGGATCACTGAAAATTGATTTTTACATGCTCTGAAGTACCGAGATTAAGTCCTAGCAAAAGATCACCAATAACGCAACAAGTATTTATTACACAATACTATGTACTCAGGGTGGTTTTTTCTTCCAATTATTTTCATTTTTGTGAGCCATACCTTAAAGACTTCATCATTATTATGCTGGAAAATACACGACATTTTCCCAGGAAACGAAGATGTAATGAACAAGTACCATGAAATCATGGATAGCAGTATTACACAAATGTTTTACTGTCTATTGTGAAAAATGACTATCACTCACAGACTAAAAATTCATTGTTATATTTTAATCCACTTTAAAGGTTGTTTCCATCCATCTAAATATGGCCTTGATGGGAATTTTCTCCACATCATTCTTTCTCAATATTTCCAGATCTTTTAGGGGTTTTAGGGAAAAAGGATGGGAAATAAAGACATTAACAGTTTCTGCAAAGAATCGTATATAAAACATGTCTATACTTACGGAGGGAAATGTAAGTGCACCTCAGAGCTTAGGGGGATGCCAATATGTTAAAACATTTAGGTACAGCAAAGCCTGTGGTTCTCAAAACGTCCGCATGCATCAGAGTCCCCCGGAGGCCTTGTGAGACTGCCCGGCCCACCCTCAGTTTCCGATTCGGGTGGGTCTGGTGGGGGCAAGTATGTGCTGCTGCTGGTGGTCGAGGAGCCCCAGCACCCCTGCTCTAAGCATCTCCCCTTCTCTTCCTCATGCCTTCTCACTTCTGGACTTTGCCAAGATTGCTTTCCCTGGCCAACATCTTCGGGATCTGCCTCATTCTTCAATACTGTCCTTGAAAAGTTTTTATTCCAAAAACTTGGCAATTTTAGAGTTTATCACGTCTATTTGCAGTGGCAGAAAAATTTCTCCTTTCGGCCATAAGTTTATTTTGCCGGGCTTGTTCAGAACCTTTCAATCCACACTCTTCAGCAGGATCATTCATTTTCCTTGCTTCTTTCCGATGTTGCTGTTTCCAGGCATTTGACATTCATCTGTTTGGGGATCTTAATGTAGTTTTGTGAAAGCATCTCTGGGCCACTATAGCAGAACCCACCGATTCCCTCACCTTCTCCCTCTGTGCCATTTCCTGATGGGGTAGGAGCCCATCCTGACTGCTGCCACCATCTGTAACTCTACTAGCTGGCAAGACCGGAGCGGGAGATAAGGAAATACTGACAAGTAAGACAGCTCAAGCATTAACAAAGGAAGCAGCTGACACCAAGAGCAAATTGCTTTTACCATCCCTGCCGCCACCCCATGAATCATGACGTATCCTGTAAACTGAGCCCTGGACCAGACCGCACCCACAGCCGCTAGAGTAAGCACTCTCACGCCAGCTCACAGAAGGTGCACCGGACCTACAGAACACTGACTGTGGCTCCTAATGCTGAGATTTCTACAAAGCATTCTCCCCGGGAAACAAAAAGTATATGGCCCACACCACGGTAATGAAGCCAAACTAAAGAAAAGACCTGAAATGAATCAAACATCCCCCGGAGCCCAAGTGGAGAGGCCATCACATGGGCAATGACACTGCGAGCCTAACTCCTTCTCTTGTTCAGCTACAAGTGACCTCTGTGCTGACTCTGCTCCTGAGGCTCCAGAACTTCCAATGCTGTGGTCTAGACTGCGTTTCTGATGCCGAAATGCAAAAAGATAGATCACAGTCCTCTATGTGGGATTCATAAGTAGTTTAATTACCTATCGTCAGTGTGGAGCTTTACTCATTAGCAAAGGATACCACAAGCATCACGGAACAAGAAATTTTGTTTCAGCTTTTGGTCATTTTGCTGCCAAAATGGCCTTGTTTGCAGCCTGTTTCACAGCCCAGCAAAACAAAATTTTCAATTGCATTTGATTTCAAAAGAATTCAAGGTTAAATGTGCCTTATTGATCAAGCACGCACCACTCAATAAAGATCACACTCTGCCTCTCCTAAATTTGGCACCATGTAAACAGCTAATTCCCTCTTCTGCACGGTTCTTACCAAAAAGCAACACAAGGGTTTTGATGCAAATGAACTTGTTCCCTTTAAAATGCTGCATCTGAAAAATAATCTCAAATTCCCTTAAACTCATAAGCAAAACTAATTTCTATGAATGATGCTCATGTAAGTGGATAATGTCTTGACTTTTGCTCCTTGTGGAAAATACAGAAGATTAGGATTCAGACAGGCAGACTGTGTAGCCAGCTAGGATAAATCAGAAGCCTGAAATAAGTAAGAACTGTGGAACTCAGCTTCAGTTACTACTTTTAGGCAGATCAAATACACACGAGCTCAATGATTATCCTCAAAGGAAGTCATGCTATCAGGTTTTTCAAGAGACTACAAAACCTGATTTTGAAATTGTATCTTTTGTTGAAGGGTAACAGACTTTACTCAATGTATGACATCATACACTTCGCTATATAAAAAAGAAATTTAAAATTTATGATTCAAAAAACACTCAATTCCAAGGTTATTCCTCTGGAACTGACTCATATAGAAAACAAGCAAAGTAAGTTGGTTAATAATTCTGTCAGCATGCTCATGCAGCAGCTTAAAATGAGGAGCACAATTTACAACCCTGTGTTGCAAGGTATTAATAGCTATTTCTTAGGCAATTAATTTTCTTCCCCACTTATTACAGGCAGATATGGCATTTTTGGATAATCCCCATGGGATGTATTCAAAATATGTAGAAAAGCATGCCCAAGAAAGATGATAAACATTCATGACACACTGTTTCAAAATTATGGGTCTCAGAGTGACTCAGGTCTACCAAGGAAAAACAAAAGATTATAACCCAGGGCAGAGGAAGTCCAAAAGTCTGGGATTTTAGTCTTGGCTTAATCATATGATTTTTGGGCAAGTCGCTAAACTCTGTGACCATTCTTGTCTCTCTAAAATGGCAGTACATCCTAGCGATGTTTAAAATGTAAATAAAGTCATATATATAAATTATTTGTAATCACAGGTAGAAAGGAGAATTGCCAGGCAACAAGATTCTATCTGAACTGTGGAGATCTGAATAGGTCATGATCACAGGACCCATCTCTGCAAGAGCCAGAGCTTAGTGCAAAGAAAATAAAATTATGTCCATGGATTTTTTTCCCCTTGAATCCAACAAATATGTTAGAAATGTGTCTCAGGACATGATGGGAACTAGGTAAGAATGCACATATGACAATAAAACCCCCCTTCATCAATAAAACAATTTGGTAGTGCCATTTTATTTTTTTATTTTATTTCAACAGGCACTTTTATTTTCTATACTGCTCTGGATGCAGCCCCAGTGGACAAAAGGAGAACTAGGGGTGGCTCCTGGGGATGCTGGTTTGGCTTTAATGATACTCCTCACTTCATAATCTCCATGTGCCCCTCCCTCCACCAGACTCCTTGTTATGGACAATTGACGTGTTCTCCCTCTTAAAGAAAGTGCCATTTAAATTAGCTTCAAGTCCCCCCTTCCAACTAGATTCACACCCATCCAACAACAAGGAAATCCTGGAGTTAGCACTGATAGGTTAAGGACTATCATTTTTAAAGGGAACACGACAGAGCAGCCGACCCTCACATGGTGTGTGAGGAAAAGGGACAGCTGCACTTCAGGAAAAGGAGGCTCTGTCCCACTCGGCACCTAATTCAAGCACAGAAGATATCCAGGGGCAGGGCTGGGAGTTCCTCTGGAACGTTACCAGAGAAGTGGGCACTTAGAGAACAGTTTCTCTGTATTTCAGAGCAAATGTACTGAATTTGTACAAAAAAGAACCCTTCTGTCAACCAGGCCACAAATGACAGACACTCTGGATAATACTTTTTTAGAAAGGGTGGCTTTTCTCCAGCAGCTCCAGGCAGTCACTTATTCCTCATTTTGACAAAGTAGCATCCAACTTCAGGCATGGCCGTATATATAACGCCACATGCAGCTGAGCCGTCATAAACACGCCAAGTATAAAGGTGTGTCAAAAAGACATTTTTCTCCCCAAAGTATGTCCCCGAGAAGCCATTATTATAATAGAGTGTGAATTTCTGCTGCAGGTTATTGACCTATAAGCTAACAATAAAAGTCCCATTTCATATATAAAAGCTTACACTGTGACATGAAGTATTAAGACACAATCCACTGACTATTTTAAGTTTGCTGAACAACGAAACCATTTCTTCATTATATTATGAATGTACATATCCTCCTGCGGGAGAACACCAACTCTGGAGATGAGGCAAAGTACAGTCCAGCTGCCGGAGATCCCATTAGGCCATCCAGAAAAATGGAAGAAGCTCCCACTGTCCGTGTTGCTGGTGTCTCCTCTGAGGCTCCCAAATGAGAACTTGGTGAATTTGGCTTATTGGCACTCTCAGTGAATCAAGACCAGGCTCAAAGGCAAACTCTATCTCCTGTAAACACAATTCCACACACAGGTCTAAACTCTGTTTACATCTGTCTAGAACTGGCTACAAATTTGGGACTTCCTCAAATGATATTAAAAGCTCTACATGTAAAGTATGCAAAAGGAGTTACTAGTTTTTCAAGAAAAGAGACATACCTGCAAAAAGCAACAGCTCTGTACACGGAACCGTAGGTAGCTGTTGGGACAATGACAGCAATGTAACAAATATAGCATAGGATGACCTTTTTTTAAAAAAATTGCTGCTGCAATACTTTACTAACTTTAAAAAAAACAAACAGATTTCCACAACATGATTTCCTAAGAGAAAGAGTCCACTGCTTTGTTTGAAAGAAGGGTCATCCTGGCGATGAAAGGATTGGGAGTGTCAATTACGATACACAAGACTGCGGTACCAAGTCTGGGATGCGTTTCACAACACCCAGTAGCTCCTGGTGGGTGGAATCCTGCTCTCTAGCTGTATCCAGGGCTCTTTTCTGGTGGCATTTTAAAAAACGTAGCTGCAGCTGAGTCAGTGGCTTTCTCTGTGGCAGAGGTCCTGATCAACCACTCAGGGTTTGGAGATTTCTGGACCTGCGATGCTGGTGTAGTTGGTTCCACTACATCCACGTGAACTGGTAAGGTGGTTACAATAAAAGGAAGGAAGAAAAGATCAAGGGGAGACAAATTAGAATCAGAGACACTTCACTGCACAATTCTCTGAATGCTTTTATTTTATAACCTATGAACCCAAGGGGCCACATAAGGTTTTTTTTTTTCCTTTCCAAAAAAAAAATAAAGGCAAGATTTCAGTGAGAGTATTTCTCTACCTGAGAAAATGCGTTTAACTGAACAAATAAGTAAATTCAGTCATACAAATTCATAATGCAGTCATGATCACTTATTGAGCACTTATGAGCTAGGCACTGTGCTATGTAAATACTGTCCGACCAGAATCTGTTTTTTTCTAATGCAAACCCTTCAAGTAGGAACTGTCATCTCCATATTCTGGATCAAAAAAGTGAGGCAGAGAGACAGCAGATACATTGCTCAGGGACACAACAGAGCTGGTTAAGTAGCAAGATTCAAACTGAGATACTAGACTTCAAGCCCTAGGCTCTGTTACCACCCCATGCCTCCAGTAACACAGTATTTCCAATAAATAGCATATCATAAGAAAAATCACACAATCAGGCCCAGTGTTTTTCAACAAGGACACCAAAGACATTCTGGACATGATCATCATTGCTTGTGCAGGGCTGGTCCTGTATATTTTAGGACACTTACCATTCTGGACCCCATCCACTGAATGCCAAAAGCACTCCTCAGTCATTGTGATGACCAAATACTGTCCTCCCATTTCCAAATGCCCTCCTGAGCAGAGTGGTACAAACCACCATCATGCCCACTCTGTTGAGAGTGAACGAATATACACCAAAATACAGCAAAATCTAGACAATTTTCATTTTTACCTTGTCACTCAATTAATTCCACTCCTAGGAATGTAACTAGAATAGTAATTTTCAAGTTGTGGGTCACAAAATCAATTTAGTAGGCCATGACCAGTACTTTTTTTCTTAATGGAAAGGAATAGGATGTATCAGAGTGAACCCAAGAATTTATTTCAGATTTACATGTACACTCACATACATATTCGAACATGAATTTCTTACTGAGTTACTGCAAAAAAAAAAAAAAAAATCTGTAGGCTATTACTCTATGGCACATATACAAGAGTTTCTTGAGGGCAACAGTTTTCAAGCATTTTGGAACCCCAACCACAGCAGCAAAAAATACATTTGACACCACAACCCAAATCTCTGTCTCTCCCTCTCACACAAACACGCGCACAAGCACTCACTCACTCATATTTAGCTGAAAATAAGTTTCATAAAACTGTATTTACCATTACTATATGGTATTCAATCACAGTGGGGAAAATCCCTTATCCTAAGAAAACTGGGGTTTTTTTGCTCTATATTTTTTACTATGGTAAAACACACGTAACACAAAACTTACCAATTTAATAATTTTTATGTGTACAGTTCCATGGCATTAAGTACATTCACACTGCTGTACAAGCATCACCACCATCCATATCCAGAACTTCTTCACTCTCCCAAAAGGAAATACCATACCTGTTAAATAGTAACTGCCGCTCTCTTGCTTCCCCAGCCCTGGCAACCATTACTCTACTTTCTGTCTCCACATATTTGACCATTTGAGGTACCTCCTATAACTGGAATCATACAGGATTTATCCTTCCGTGTCTGGCTTATTTCACCTAGTATTATGTCTTCATCCATGCTGTAGCATGTCAAAGTCTCCTTCCTTTTCAAGGCCAAATAATACTCCCCTGTATGTATAAACCACATTTTGTTTATTGATTTATCCAGCAATGGACACTTGGGTCGCTTCCACTTTTTAGCTCTTGTGAATAATGCTAATAGGAACATGGATGTACAAATATCTGTTTGAATCCATGCTTTCAATTCTTTTGGGTATATACTTAGAAGCGGAATTGCTGGCTCATATGGTAGTTTTATGTTTACAATTGTGAGGCGCCACCACCCTGCGTCCCATAGCGGCTGCACTATTTCACATTCCCACCGCCAATGCCCAAGGGTTCCGATTTCTCTCCATCTTTCCTAACATTTGTTGTTTCCTGGTCCTTGATATAGCCATCCTAAGGACTGTGAAGTGGCCCAGAAACACTTTTGCAGATGTTCTCCCAAAGACCAATGCAGTATTTTTCAAGGAGCATAAAATGGGATATAATCCAAATGTCCATCAGGAGTGTTTAATTATAATATACTCAGCATAGTCATACAATGGAATACCATTTGTATATGGTGGTAAAAAAAAAAAAAAAGGATTTTGGCAGGACAAAAACAAATGAATCTCAAAACATAACTGGCTGAAACTTCTAACTTATAAAGTAAGACATTCCATTTACACAAGCCTCCAAAAAATGCTAACTAGACAATGTATTGCTTAGAGAGCTATACGTCTGTTAAAGCTAGCTGAAAAAATCCCCAAAGAATGATAAATGATTAACAAAAAACCATATTCACGTAACCAAAAAACTGTATGAGGACAATGGTTACCTACGAGGACAGTGGGAAAATTTTAAAGGCGATGTCCATGTTCTTAAAGTGGATGGTAGGTACATGGATATTTGCTATATTGTTTTTCTTGACACCTTATCCATCTTCTGTAAATGTTCTTTTATAACCATTTAATATTTACTAAAAAACATTTTTAACTTTAAAAACCATTTGAATTTTAAAAAGGGGCAGTAAGAAAAAAGTAAAAAGGGGCAGTAAGAATCTGCCTTATGACACCTGAGGCAAGGGCTAACCTACAATGGAACTACTGAATCCAATCACAGGGTTAGAATAATTTCTAGAGTAACTGTTTCAACTTTAAGATTCCATTCACTTATTCAAACAAGAAATATCTAGTGAGATCATTCTCTGTGCTGAGTACTATTTTAGATGCTCAGGGTACAGAAGTGAGCAAAACAGATAAAAATTTCGGCTCTCACAAATACACCTCTAGCATTACTGGCCTGGTATTTGGAATCTGATGTAACTAACAGATTAACTGCTGAGTACCCTTCCAACTGATGCTCTAAGGACACATACCCTATCCCAGAGACAGGAAGGTCAGAAGAGGCTTGGGGGATGGCCAAAATAGTAAGGGCTCTGAATACAATGTCTTATCATCCCCCAATTCTCCTTTACCTAAAGGCCATGGGTTTAATTTTTGAAGGAATGGGATTTGTACACCAAACTCCATTCTTGTCATTCTAATCAAGAAAAATCATCTCAAGGAAATGAAATCTGGTTTTCATCTGAGTTTCTTATGCTTCTTATAGCCACTTAAGCTCAAATCTTAAGAGAAAATAACCCATTTTTTCTTTTCCAACTACATTCTTTAAGAGCACATAGAGCCAATTCACTTCGGCAGGAGGTATAGACTTTCCCTGTTCTGGTGTTACTGAAACAGAAGCAGATTTTTACATGGTTACTTGCTAAAATCCAAGGGTGGCTCTGTGTACCAGATACCTGTGTAGGTTATAAAGTCATAAAGGGAAGGGGAGTGGAGATAAAAAGAAGAAAATAAAGGTGCTATGCTTTCAAGAAGGATCTACTTAACGACCCTAATGAAAAGGTCTTTTTCCCTGGCCTTTCCTGAGTGTTAATATAAAAAGACAAGGAAGACAAGCTACTCTTTTCTGCTCTTCACCTCTCTAGCCTTATTAATACCTTTAAATTCAGTCAATCTCAACTCAAAACTTTCCACCGAGGGGGAGGGGAAAAGGGAAAAGATTTGTGGCTGCATGTTTAAGAAAGAAGCTGAATTCATCACAGTGACAGGGGAGAGTGTTGGCAGAGATCTGAGCTATTTATTCTTTTAGGAAAATCCTATAAAGAATGACACAAGGAAGCCTCTATCTGCAGTCTTGTTCATCACACTGGTGAAGAGTCCGATAACAGATGTACGCAGTAGCGTGATTTAGTGCCAGGAGCTGGCCCCTGATGTGTATTAATACAGCAGCAAAGCGGAACGCACCTCTCTTCATCACTCATTTCTATAAAAGAGGTGGAATCCGAGATGGCCCGATGTGAGGCAGAGCAAGCCCATTTGTTCTACTGACTGATGGTGCGGGCTCGGGCTGTGTCCTTCACCTCCATGGGGCACTCAGGTTGTGGATAGAAAAAACAGAAAATGTTCAGTGAAGCAGACCTTAGTCAACAAGTGAGAGGAGGAGCTGGGCTCAGGAGGAGACGTGCTGAATGCCCAAACCGCGTTTAATCCCTCCCAGTGACAGTTCCTGCTGTGAGTGTGCAACAAGGTTTTTAAACTCTTCTCAACAGTTCCTGTCTTATGAACAATTAAAAGTTAAAAACAGAAGCTAGATATTGAGGGGGAAAAAAGAACAAAAGATACAAGAGGGGAGACTGTTGTAATGCTTCCAATACCATAGGCGGGATTTTGATGCAGTCAGTTTGGAACCAGTGCTATCTTATACAACACAGAACATCTGAAGTGTGTAACAGCGCACCTCTCGAAGTCAGAGGGAAACTGATTTGACCTTGGCTCTGCAATTTATCATCCATGGGACCTTGGAGAAGTGATTTAACCTCAGTAAGCCTCAATTTTGTCATGTGTAAACTGTTAATAAAAACATGTACCTTTTAAAGTTGTTGCAAAGATTAAGTGAAATAATGCATGCAAAGTAATCAGCTCAGGCCATGTCCATGCAGAAATCACTGGAAAAAATTTACTATAATTATCAGACCTGTGATTAAGATTGTCCAGTAAGAACCATTATCAAGCAGTCACCCCAAACAGAAACTGAAAGAGGTCGATTTTAAAGTATGCTGAAACTTACTAAGTTAAGGGAGAGAGATAGAGTTCCCTATCTCTCTGAGGTCTATTCTTCACTCATCAACTGCTCTGATCTATATAATATATAGTATTTTCTGAAGAAAATAAAATAATCTATGATATACTCAATCTCCTCAGAGTGAATTCACTATCGTCAACAAAATAACTGTATTTCTGATAGGTCCTACAAACAGATATGATCTTTTTATCCAGAGCAATCTATCCTCAACTGTACTGAAATAACACAAAAATTTCCTGATTAACGATTATGTTTAACTGTCTTCTCCTAACTCCAAAGAAAAATACCTACAAACATCCAATATTCTTTCTGATATAAATAATGACTACCCCCCATTTTTTAAGGATAAGTAAAGGGCATAAATCATAAGCATACAGCTCAATGAATTTTTACATATGCATATACCCATGTAATTCCTACCCAGTTGATGACAAAGAGCATTTCCCAAAAGACTTCTGATTATGTCGTCTCCTGGTCACTACCCCTCACCAAAGATAACCACTATTTCAGTTTCCAACCAACTGGTTTTGGCCAGAAAACTGAAAGGTTTTAACTTGAAAAATAGTTTTTAATTAGAAATTTCAAGACTAGTAGAGTATTAGTACTCTACTACACGTAATAACAGTGAGAATGTATTGTACCATGTGCCAAGTAAAAAAGTAAATAAACCTATGTGGCTCCCTGGCTACTGACTAAAACCGCCACCCTAACTGGATTTTCATGACCACAGACCTAATTTCCTCTCTGTGCTAGAACAAAAGCACAGATGACTGAAGATTGCTGATTGTAGAATACCAGGATTCAAACTCAAAAAAGCCACATGACACAGTGAAAAAACACAGACCTCAGGGTTAGAGGGAACTAGGTTTGGATTCTTAAAATGTGTGTGACCTTGGGCAAATTACATCTCACATTCTTATTTTCCCAAGTAAAATGGGAATAAAATGACCTACCTTATCATAAAGGTTAGATGAAAAGGTATATAAAACATAATTTACTGCCTGACACACAGTAGGTGCTCAATAAATGGTAACTACATACAGTTACCTGCATTTGGGCTGGACAGAGATGCTGTGGCCACAGGTTTCCGTTTCCTCTTGATGTCACGTGAACATGGGGGTCCCAAGTGTATGTTTGCCTGTCTGCAGATACAAGAAAGAAAAAACATTGTTTTCATCTTGAATTCTTATTGTAAGACATTATGTTCAGCCCAGATAAAATCCTTGACCCATTACAGACCTACACTAACAAGACAGGCACCGTTCTTTGTCATCAAGTGTCAAGTACAAGTTTATTCAGGATTAATCATAACTCATTCTTTATGCACAATATATACCCATTTTAAACTTTTTACCTAATTTCAGAATAGCAGACACTCAAGATTAATTTCAATAAATGTGTTTCATTACATGCTGATTTTTGTACAATTATTTTTCATAAAAACTTTAACTGCAATTGTTCTACACTCACTAATGAAATACCTACTCCCACGCGGTAATATATTGAAAAGTTTAATGCTGCATGAACACAGATATTTGCATAGAATTTTAATAGGAATTTAACCCTTCTATCACTATAAATCTGGATTTTTAATAGTGTCTGTATCACCAGTTAAGTAAGTTTGATTTCTGTGATTTTTAAAAGTATTAATTACTTGCTAATAATATATTCCCTCATCTGAATATTCAACTTATTTTAAAAACAGTGGGTGTGCCAAAGCTGGAAAAAAGCAATAGATTGTCTGAAAGACAATGGACTTCACACTGCAACAGCTGGTACGCTATTTTAGTTGCCCACTTCCTCCTTCCTCAAGCTAGACGGATCCTGGGACGCCTGAGGGGCTCAGTCGGTTAAGTGTCTGCCTTCGGCTCAGGTCATGATCCCAGGGTCCTGGGATTGAGTCCAGCATCGCGCTCCTTGCTCAGTGGGGAGCCTGCTTCTCCCTCTGCCTGCCGCTCCCCCTGCTTGTGCTCTCGCTCAACTCTCGCCTATGCTCTCTCTCTCTAGCAAATAAATAAATAAAATCTTTAAAAAAAAAAAGAGATGGATCCTATCCCTGATTAAGGACCAAGTTGACTCTCACCTTTACACAAAGCTTTCCTTGAACAGTCAAGGCCTTACTGACCATGAATCATTATTTAACTGGTATACATATATCTTGTTTCCCTAATGAGACTTACTCTTGAGAACAGGGACCATGTTTACACTTCTTTCACAGTTTTCCAATGATCCACCAACCTCAGCACAAGGCACTTACCTGACGGCCATTAAATATCTGTTGACAAGAACTGATACGAATGAATGAAAGTTCTAAAACCAAATAGTCAACTGTACACTTAAAAGTGGTTAAAATGGCAAATTCTATGTTATGTATATTTTACCACAATTTTTTAAAAATAGTGAGAGTATGTACATATAAAAAAGAATCTAGTAAAATTATACCAGATGAACTCCTAATTGGTAGTCTTAGCTGGGGATTAAGTCTCATGGCTTAATGATCTTAAAACTAGAACCTCAGTCAAATCTCAGAGCACCTAGTTAGTGAACAAAGCACCAAGACAACCGCGGAATGGACAAACTTTCCTATTCAGAGGGCCCCTAATCTGGCAACTTCCACAGTTTAAAAGCATACATGTATACACATTATTTTCTCTACATGCAAAAGCTTAAGAATCAATTCACTTTATAAATGAGAAAAGGTAAGAATTTAACTGAAATCATACGATTTTTGGAATGCAGAGAACACTACAATAGGCAGAGATTTACAGAATATAAAGCCCGTGCTTTGGAAAATTCCATCCAAGTCACTCTGTATTGATATCCCTCTCTTCTATACGGAAAAAGAGTTAACTTTTGAGTATCCCATGAATAGTTAATTCTGAACACCCAAAGTGAAATGTAAATATAAATGTATAAAGTAGGAGAAAACAATTCATTTTTCATACCTTACCAAAGTCCTGGGAATAAATCAGCATGTTGATTTAATAGTAAGAAACACAGATGACAGAATATCAAAGGTAGAGAGGCCTTCAGTCTAAATGGAGAGAAGGTAATTCCCTTTGAAGCCAAAGACACAGACAGAAAAGAGAGTGACCCTACAAAATTCTGGTTTCTGTCAAAACAGAGAAATGTACAGAATAGGGCTTCCATCTTTTCCACAAATACGCTACTTGAGTACACATAGATCCAAACTCAAAAACTGGCCACTTTGCTCTATTCCAATCATGCTTCTCCTTAAGTTCTTCAGAAAGACAAACAAGCCAAATAAAGGGTAACAGTATACATTCATGTTTCTCTCTTCTTTACCTTAAGCTTATATAATAACAGTATACATTCATGCTTCTTTCTTCTTTACCTTATAAAGGACTCTCCAAAACTTTTTAGATTAAATGTTAACATCCTTTCTTCAAACTAAACTATGTTATTAGATGTCAGGACAGTGGTTACCCTTGCGCCGTGGAGTAGAGGGGAGGAGGAACAGTGGCTAAACAAAGCACCAGGAGCTTTTGGGCTTCTTTCTGATAATGTTCTGTTTCTGGATCTAGATGAGATGAGGGTTACTTGAATGTGACTTCATTATCCTTCATTAAGAATGAAGTTTAATTAAGGGGGGCGCCTGGGTGGCTCAGTCGTTGGACGTATGCCTTCAGCTTGGGTCGTGATCCCAGGGTCCTGGGATCGAGCCCCGTGTCGGGCTCCCTGCTCAGCGGGAAGCCTGCTTCTCCCTCTCCCACTCCCCCTGCTTGTGTTCCTGCCCTTGCTCTCTCTCTCTCTCTCTGTGTGTCAAATGAATAAAATCTTTAAAAAAAAAAAGAAAGTTTAATTAAGGGGCGCCTGGGTGGCTAGTCGGTTAAGCCATCTGCCTTTGGCTCAGGTCATGATCTTGGGATCATGAGATCAAGCCCCGCTTTGGGCTCCCTGCTCAGTGGGGAGTCTGCTTCTCCCTCTCCCTCTTCCCCTCCCCCCGCACTCGTGCTCTCTCTCAAATAAAATCTTTAAAAAAAAGCTTTTTAATTTTAAAAAGTACAAACCAAAAAACAAAAACATTGCTTCTTCAAGATCAATGCGAAATGCTGAATTTTATGAGACAGACACAAATGCAAAGTATAAGAAAAGTACTCAAAGGAGTTTTAAGATAGTAATTCTTGGGGCGCCTGGGTGGCTCAGTTGGTTAAGCGACTGCCTTCGGCTCAGGTCATGACCCTGGAGTCCCGGGATCGAGTCCCACATCGGGCTTCCTGCTCAGCAGGGAGTCTGCTTCTCCCTCTGACCCTCTTCCCTCTCGTGCTTTCTATCTCTCATTAAAAAAAAAAAAAGATAGTAATTCTTGGAGTATCCACTTGGGCTGAACGAAATAAATGCTGTCTTTTATTTATACACCATCCATCATTTTCACAACTTTGCATGTTTGATAGAGGTCAGTAAGACAGTTAAGGGCCCTATTATTATCTCTCCTTTACTGACCTAGTCAGTAACATTTATCTCACATTTTCAAGAAATGGCACATTTGGGAAGAAAAAGATGAAATCCTTTATGTACGAAAGTATTTAAATTTTTAATCATTTTAAATGGAAACGTGGTGCTTTTTAAAATGTTTATTTATTTTAGTAAAATGGAAGTAAATATTAATTACCTACCATGAGGCATACAGATTATCACACTGCACTCACTACATCCTGCAGCGTCCTTAGGGGGCTGCTATGGACGCAAAGGCTCAGGTGGTCCTTCCCATGCCCCACCCCTCTGGGTCACAGTTCTCACATCCCCACTCTGCCCTGCCCAGTGATGGTAAGGGCTTCAGGGTTAATTGTCCCTACATTAAATGACCCCTGACTGCTAAGTCTCCAGCCTGTTACTTGTTTCTGCGGTAAATGATCTACTTCTACCACACTATTCCCACTCTTAATTGTTGGCCCGAACATTCTAAATCCTTCAAATTTTGTAAATTCCTCTGGTGATAACTTAGGAAAGAACTGAAGGCTTTCTAAGGAACCCAGGTAATGAAGCTTATGAAGTCAACCGCCTGATTTTGTCGTAAAAGTATGTATTTTTGTGTGGACTATTTCCTTTCTACTTAAAGGGCTTTTTTGCTTCCTTTACTGCTCACTGCTTTTACTGAGGTGTTGAACAAAACACAGTCTCCTCCCTCCAGGACCTCGTAGTCTAGTCCTATTTCCAGCCACACAGCTTTTCTAGTTATAGAATCTGGATAACAGAGAAACTGAGGCAAGGATAAAGAGAAGCCACGTTCATTCCTAAGACTCAGTTTAATGCTCCTTCCCTCTTAACACATCTCTCCTAGGACCGTTTCCAGACTGGAGAGCTATTTCATAAGAGGTTACACAACATCACACCTTAGGTCTGAGTACAGAAAGGATATCTGTCTCTCCCTACGTACCTTCCTAGCAAAGATCTGGGAAAGGAAGAAGAGAGAGTCAAATTATAAAGGACAGTAAGACATTTTCCTTCTTTTTGGTTTTAAGTGAACACTAGTAATGGTAGAGTTCACAGCTTGGGAAAATCTATTTTTCCCTTTGAGGGCTCTGTCTGCCTGGGAAGAACCTTGGAAACCAGAGAGGAAGAAGACCCGGAAGCCCGGAGACCCAGAGCCTGGGGAAAGCACAGAGGAAGCTGAGTGCTTGGAGCAAGAGGATTTAAAGGAGACAGGAAAAGGAACCGGCCACGCTGTATAGCACATTCTGAGCACGAGGACACCCTGTTCAGGAGTGGAGAATAATCCATGCGGCGTTGGAAGGGTCCCTTGTGTTATTCTGGGGAACCTGAGCATGGGAGTATGCACCTGCTGCGGCCACAGCTTCCTACTCGAGAGGCCGTTCCAATTTTTGTGTGTCCCCAAATAATTCCATACAATAACTACAGACATAAAGAATGAAAGATAGTGAAATAAAAATAAAAAATTGACCTCCCCCACCCTCATTTGCACTTAGGAGTAGTTGGCTCCCCTCTTTCCCAATGTGTTGTTTCTTTAATTTGGGTTATTTTGCTCAGACAGTATCTGTCTACTCTCACAAGATAGAAACTGAAGAGGGTCAACACACAAGCAGTTGTCACAAAGGGCAGGGGAAGTCGGAGCCTCCCCTTCTCACCAACGCACAGTGGGTAGAAAGGGTAGAAGATTTAA